CAGTAGTAGTAGTAGTAGTGGTAGTAGTGGTAGTAGTGGTAGTAGTAGTGGTAGTAGTAGTAATATCAGTAGTATCAGTAGTAGTAGTAGTAGTAGTAGTAGTAGTAGTAGTAGTAGTAGTAGTAGTAGTAGTAGTAGTAGTAGTAGTAGTAGTAGTAGTAGTAGTAGTAGTAGTAGTAGTAGTAGTAGTAGTAGTAGTAATATCAGTAGTAGTAGTATCAGTAGTAGTAGTAGTAGTGCTGAGTACAGGAAGACAGATTTTCTGTACTCAGTATTTTCGGAGCAGCTGTCAGTTCAGTGTCATGACTTATGGAACAACGGCAGCTCTCTGTTTATGCAGCGGGGGGGAGTAGGAGGAGGAGGAGGAGGAGGAGGAAGACGACGATGTCCTTGGTGTCATCTGAACAGACAGATGAAGAGCAGCGTTACATAAACACTGTTGTATTTCAACCCAGGCCGTGCTGCAGTCAGACTTCCTGTCACGGAGAACAGAACACGGTTTACTCAGCATTTCACAAATATAACTACATCATAGTCACATGTGTTCATATATATTTATATATATATATTATCACTGTGACCTACCTTCATCGTCATCAGCGTCAGTTGATGTGAAACACGAACTGCTCCTTTAATAATTCTCTGGACATTTAACGGACAAATAACAAACAAATGTAGTTGATTTATGTGGATTTCTCCACAATTCAACGACTGTTGATAAATCAATAATATTGTTTATTTTTTCTTTCATTTCAAACAAATGTCATTTGGTGACATTGTGTTTTATTTTTGTTTATTTATTTTTTAATAAATCTATTATATTTCACCGTCACCTGTACTCAGATATTCGTTTCCACTGTATGTGGTCCACATGTCCACAGCAGGGGGCAGTAGTGAACAGTGTCTCTCCTGACTTCAGTGTCTTAGATTGTGAACAAGGTCATTTATCACTTTGATTTTTTGGGTTTTATTAGAGGAAACACAGGACGATGACGTCATTTCACCAACCGTCTGTATTGGCAACACAGTGGTCGAGTGGTTAGTCCTTTTGCCTTACAATAGAAGATCACTGGTTTGGTCAATGTTAACCAGTGGTGTTTTACAGACGCTAACGTGTCTGGACCTCAGGCCCGAACAGAACACAGTTATTGATCCTGGATCTTGTCAGGTTTGGTTCTAGCCCCGCCCACAGTCACAGAGGACGAACCAGGAGGATGTTGAGTGTAAACACTGGAGGTTTTAATCCCATTCATCGCCCAGTTTATACTCAAACCTGATTGGACGTCAGCTCTGGATCATGTTATTAAATAGCGACGTTATTTTTTGAAATCTTTGCCTTTTTTCTACGTCGCTAACTATTCACTTGGCAGCATGTTTTAGGACCTACTCTTGCATTTTAAGGCATTTTAAGGCATTTCGGGGTCTTTTTTTTTTTTTTTATTTTTTCACGATGGTAAGGCTATTGTAAGGCGTGTTTTGGGTGATTTTTCAAATATTCATATAAAATACTTTTTGTACTTTTAAACACAAACTATTCACTTGGCAGCATGTTTTAGGACCTAATCTTGCATTTTAGTGCATTTCGGGGACTTTTTATTTTTATGGATTTTTTCACGATGGTAAGGCTATTGTAAGGCGTGTTTTGGGTGATTTTTCAAATATTCATATAAAATACTTTTTGTACTTTTAAACACAAACTATTCACTTGGCAGCATGTTTTAGGACCTAATCTTGCATTTTAAGGCATTTTAAGGCATTTCGGGGTCTTTTTATTTTTTTGGATTTTTTCACGATGGGAAGGCTATAGTAAGGCGTGTTTTGGGCGATTTTTGAAATATTCATATAAAATACTTTTTGTACTTTTAAACACAAACTATTCACTT